AAAAAAAAAAAAACTTGGATGAAATGCTCAATAGAGTTTATCGAAAAGTAGCACCTAAAAGTGGATTCACTTACAAAGCTTGTTGTGCCTGGTACATTAGTACAAAGCTCATGTTTGCAACTCTCACTGAGACATTCAGAACCAAACTCTAGATCCTCATCTCTACCCCTCCATCTTTTACGTTTGCCTCTCTCCCCGGCTACACGACTTCTGTTTCCTAGCACGACTTTGCTATCCTCAGGCTGATGAGTTCTACTGGTGCTACAATCTTCTTTCAATCTGGTTGTCTCACAAGGGTACCGCACTTCCATGTCACCATGTTGTGTGGTTAGAACTTCCATGTTACTTTGAGAACTATCTGCATGGACATTGTCTGTTGACATATCAGTGTCAGTACCAATCGGACAATTCTCAGATAAGCTACTGAGTGGCTCCACACGACCAGTGTTGTTTTCAGTTCCTGATGTAACAAGTGATCCTGTCATTGAATAATTTATAAACAAAATGTAAGAAGCAAAAAACAATTAAGAAAAAGAAGAAAGAAATGCAAAAATTCCAAATCTTAAGAAGGCACCTGAAAGGAGCGAACCTTCGCATGAATTTACATGGCGACAGTCCACAATACCCCTATAAATGCAATACTCGTGAACAAGCTCATCAAGCAGAGAAATGTCTAATCTCATCCGGCATAATTCATTCTGTAATAAAGAAAAAAAAAAGAGATTTAATAACCAGAGCTACCAGACACAGAATATGGATTAAAATGTTTCATTACCATGCAAAGATAGGACAACAAACTGCGGCAAGAATGTGAGAAAGATGGATGCTAAAAGTACCACCAACTTCTAGCAGTATGGCTTTTGCCACGCATAGTTCTAAAAGACAAATGGGGAGGCGAGGCGAGGCGATTCGCCCATAGCCTCGCCACGAAGCGAGACAATTTTCCATGGCAAGGCCTCGGCAGCACAAGCCATCAAAGTTTAGAAAGAATAATATATAGTGATGATCCAAGTATTTAAGTGTAAGTGCCAAATATAACCTCAAATATCCTCAAAGAAATAAAATAAATTAATTTGAATGTAACTACTAATAGCATCTAAAATTTAATGTGAACACTTACAGCTTTAGAAAAGAAAAAATATATTTCACTTATGTTGTGTAATAATATAAAATAGAAAAAATGTTAAGAAAAGTAATTAAAAAGTGTAAATAAAAAAATGAAGAAAAAGGAAAGAGAAATAGAGAGAGGAAGGAACGAGAAAACAGAGAAAAAGGAGAAGGAAAAGAGAGGAACCACGCATCACTGGTAGTCGTGGCGGCCGGCGATCAGAAGCGGAAATGAGATAAGGTGGGCTTGGGTTTCTCTAATTTTCAGATCTGAGAAGCTTAGGAATTTCTTTTGCAGAAACCCTAGTTTGGGGAGGATCCCGATTTTTCCTTTTTTTTTTTTTTTAATGTGCAGTGATGGGGTGAGGCATGCCTCTTCGTCACCTTTGGCGAGAGAGGGGCATAGTGAGACGCCTACCTCGCGATGGGTCGCCGCTGGCAGAGACGAGGCGATCTTACCTCCGCCTCGGTCACCTCCCGCCATGGCGTTACCATTTAAAACTATGTTGTCATGGTGCTTCATTGATCACACCACGTGCTTACAATGAAAATGCAAGTAAAAGAATTAGCAGTGAACACATCCCGAGCACACGTAGAAGCTCACACAAACAAAGAGTTACATCACTTTTACCTGAAATGCTTGGTGCAAATCACCCTTGGCAAATCTCAAGCTATCTACAGCCCCTTGTCTAGTCAGCTCCACTGCATGAGCAAGTGCTTGTATGTCCACCTGGTCGATAAGCAATCATCGGGTTCAGGAACAAGAGTGCTAATAATTCATTAAAAAAAGAAAATTCAATGTGACTGGCTGCCTATGTGCCAGTTATCTGAATCTCATTCAGAGTGGTGAAGAACAAAAAAGAACGCCCCTTTCAAATATCTCACCTCATCAAATGGAGGTGCTTCCAACAAACTCTCTTGTGCTGTTGCAGGGGGGTCACGCTCCTCGAGGAGCAATCTTTCAGTAAGATCGCTTATGGGCGAAGAGACTCCCTGATGAAGGCAAAACCCCTTGTGTATGCTGCATAATGCAAGCAACAATCAAGAATGCATAGATGAACTGAAAATAACAAATGAATTACGTACAAATCTACCCACTACTTCCTGCAAGTGCACTAAATGCCCAAGTTTTTATCTCAATCAATAAAATTAAGTACAGCCTAATCATCACTCCAGATTGGTGTACATATAAGTGAGAGCTACCTTATTAAATATCTCAATGTCATTGAAAACATAGGATCATATGCAAGGAAATGAGCTCGTAAGACAGACGAAAGCAGCCCTGCAATCTCAAACCTCTTCCTCTCGGACCACTGAGACAAAGGCAGACAGTGAATTACGATTTATCAAGAAAATCAACATATCCAGTATCGCTCCTTAAGAGAGAGACATACAATGATGAATGCCCTATTAAATATTCCTCAAAAAAATAAAAAATCTCTATATTATGGCATAATAATATACCATCCTAATACTTCCAATCCCAACCCTGGTGACACTTTAACCTTCAACTTAGAGAAATGATACTCTATAATTCTTGCAGCTATGTATATAGTTCTAAGCATTCCTAGGGAAAATGATAACAGTGTAAATCTAAAATGACCAATATCTGAGGTTTACAGGAAGCACATAAGTATTAGGAATCCTGCCTTCTATAAATGTGAATGTGTCAGTCAAGTCAATACGAGCAAGATTTATGTAAAATGGAAATTTAGATAAAATTGCGTCAGATATTTATTTAAGTATATCCCAAAAAGATGATAATACAAAATTTTATTATTGGAAAGTTCTCTAGAATCTTCTCATAAATTGGATCTCTTAGAACACAAACCAATAGAAAAAAGAACCATTAAGTTTTCCTCCAACTGATTAGAGAAAGGATTAAAATGACAATAATCACTAATAACAGTTTATCTTTTTTGACAACATAATAGCAGAAATTTTATGATCCATTTGTGCTGACGACACCAACAAGAGAGAGAATAATGCATTAAACAAAGCTGTAAGACATTATCAAAACAAAAACGAATCACTATTTACCTCATTTACCACTGGAGATGTCGGATCATCTTTGTCATAAATGAGAGCAAGAAGAACATGCTTAAATTCCTCGTACGCTTCCTTCAATCAAGAACAAGCATTTATCAGTAGCAAACGGGAGCACAAAAACACTCATTGACTGAATTCTTAAGGATGAGAAGCACAGATATTTAACCACTACAAAACTCCAAGAGAAATCTAAAAACTCGAGCTCATAGCACGTGAATTTCGTTGATTCCCCCGAATTGTATGCTAATGATTCACCATATGCATGCAACAAAATCAAACAGGAACCCTAGAAAAACAAAAATTAAAGTAATAAGAAATCTAACTGGGTAAGCATCCAGCGCACACGGCGCGAGAGACGAGCGCACACACTTGATGGCAGAATCACGATCCTCAACGGTCCCTTTCCTCAACAGCTCAATAAATTTCTGCAAAAAGCAGCCACTTACAGTCATTGAAAGCTCAGATTAACCAACAAAGTGCAAAAAAGAACAAATTGTCTAAAAGATTCCGCGAGAAATACATACCTGCTTCTGCAGACGAAACAGGAGGCGGTGATCTTCGAGTAAGGCCGGGGCGTTGGCCCGGAGGAGGTCGATGGCGGAATCAATGTCGCCGGACTCCAGGGAGCGCCTGATCTGAGATATCAGGCGGCGCCACCGATACGCGGAAGACGACGACGGAGGCGGCGAGTCGTCGATCAATCGCTCCGCCTTAGCGAAATCGACGACGAGGGCGTCCAAAGCTTCCCAATTTACTGGCGATGGGTCCATCTGCGTATAGAATCTCGTAACAAGAGGTTTTTCGCCTTTTTTCATCCGAAACGGCTTTTATATTCTCCTATTTTTTCTTTTCTTATAAATAAATAATTAAATACCCACGGGATTTTAGTCCGAGGAGCCTGATTATTTCGTGATTAAATAGGTATATAATTGTACTTTCGTTTAAACTTTATAGTTGGAAAAGAAGTATCTTTTACAAGAAAATGCTACGGTCATTCTGTCGAGAATTATAACAACTTAGATCATTAGATAGTTGATCTAACAATTATAAATTTCGTCAGAATAATTCCGAGACCATATAAATGAGTTATGAGTGGGATTTTGTTTTTGGGGGATTTGTTTAAAAGCAGAAAAGAGGTTATGGCCGTTGCGGTTTTGCTATAAAGCCAACAATTGCTTTATAGTAGAGTCAACTTTCTATATAGAACAAGTAAACTTACCACATTCTCTTATTACTTAAATAACATTAATATAATTTTATTAATATGGTAGGTTTATTTACTGTTTATAGAAGGTTGATACCACTATGGACCCAACTGTTGGTTTCATAGCAAAACCGATGGTCGTTGATGATGATTGAATATGGTAAATGGAAGGTTGCACGTGATGCCACGTCGGCTGCGTGTGATATGTTTTCCCCCAATTTTGCTATGTAGCCAAGTTGTTTCGCGGTAAATAAAAATATTATATTCTCTAATTAGTTAAAAATTTACAATTAATAGTTATTATAAAAAAAAAACTATATGACAATGGAAAAATAAACCACGAAGGACTTATATTTTTTAATTTTTGGAATTGGATAAAATAAATACTACGAAAAATTTGTAATATTATTTCAAATTATGTTAAACTTTGCCTCACATTTTTTTTATTTAATATTTGTCCTGCACAATAGGTTGGATCTATAGCAAAACTGGCGTTAGATGAAAAATAAGTTGCAATTATAAATATTCAAGAAACTCGGATTATATTTTATCACCAATAATATTGTAGGTTGGTTGGAAAGGCCGAAAACCGATACAGTAAAAGTAGCAAATCTTCTTTCCCTTTTTTTTGTGTTTTTTTTTGTGTTTTTTTTTTT